TAGTCCTGCTAGTTATAAGTAACTTTCCTTGTTGACTTGCCTCATGGGCAGCCCAGTCAAGTCCTCTTTGCATAATGAAACAGACTAAGACAACCATGGAACTCCTCTGGGCAAGTAAAATTGGATCTTTGGGCATAGTTAGGAAGATCAGTATTGGTCATCACTATGAGCTGACATTCTTTGGACTGGTCACCAACATAGACGTGTTGTGCACATATGAACCACCACTCAGCCAATGTGTTTTGCCGATTCGTGGCACACATGTCAGCTGGTGTGTCATCCAACATGTTGACTGAGTGTCTGCTGCGCGTCGGCTGATATGTCAACCTGTCTGATGAACGGGTATAACTTATGTCAACCAACATAATTATTAGCCAAGACTTAACTGACATGTCAACAGATAGTCAACCGTTACACTGACCGAGTATTGGCCATTATGTCAGCCAATACTAATAACTTTTTCTGAGCTGTTATTAAACATGGTTTAGTTTAATTATAATCATACATGTGTAAATAACAGAAAAATCTCTGCTAGATGTTCCTGCTTCATATGATGACATGCCAGAGTTATGATGCTGGTTTTGATGACTTTAATAATGACGATGATCTTGGCAATGAAGAAACTCTCCAGGCTTTATCAAATGCAGAAAAGAATCATGATGTAAAACCTCACATCAAGGTACTTTACTATATTGATTCAATACTGATTCAATACCAGGTTATTCATCAAGGTACCCTACTATATCGATTCTATATTGCTTAAACATATTGATTCAATACCAGGTTAACCTTGTTTTGTAGGACACCAACCTGTTCAAAATAATCTAAGTAGCAGGTTCAAGCTTAAGCAACCTGATTGTTTTCCTACAATTTTGTTTAGACTCCCTTAAACTTAAACCAAAAAACGTTTTAAGTTACTGAATTCATGTTTTCCAAGAAATTGTAAAATTGAAAATAATAATTATTCTTCTCAGTCTCTGACCAACTTTTCAAGATCACCTTTATTTTACAATGAAATTTTGTTGATCTCTTGACTCACTTCTCCGTCTATTCAACATTATTTATTTTTGGGAAAGCTACCAGTAACCATCAGAAGTACTTCATATACTCTCCTTTAATTATCCTCTCAGGTTGAGGCCAGTGAGAAACCAAATGACAGAAGATGCGCTATGCCACAGAAGTATGCAATTCTTTTATGATATTTATTTTGACATTCATTGACATCACTAAACAATTTAAATATTTCTGAGAAATAATAATGCATTATTATCATATGACTTTTTAACCTTGTTGGGGCTGGAGGTAATAATTGTCATGTTTGTGTTTTGAAGTCAAGGGAAGGGTGTGGTCACATGTGTTTTGAAGCAAAGTCACAGGAACTTGTTGGATCTTGTCAGCAGATAATTTTTGTTGAACAAAGAAATGATTACGTTACAGCTAGTTGAGCTGATACCTTTGTACCATTTGGTTTTCATGACCGCTTTCAGGAAATAACTGGCTGATTTAGAGGTTCTTGTCTTGTGTTTTGGGCACAGTCAGACAAAACTACTGTCCACAGCACTGCTGGGCATTTTTGGATATTCCTAGTTTGCTAAATAATAATGATTTCCTTTTTATTTAATTATCTGTAATAAAGTGATGGTGGGAGGCTTTGCATTCCACTCCTGCCTTGCGCTTGCCTTTCCTCGCCTAAAAATGCTGAAAAATTACGCTTTCTCTGCAGTCTAGCCCTCAAAATATCTTGATATCATGAACAAACGTAATTTAGCAATTGTAAGTACATGGATCTTTGCAGAACAACAGAACTTCCTGGTGATTCAGGATGGGAAACTATCTTAGGAAATGAAGATTCACAACAACAAGAGGTATAAAACTGTCAAAAGATTCTTGTAAATGTGTTTTGTTCTTAGTCACCTCCCTGCCTTTCATTGTACAAGAAGTCAAGCATCTTTTTTGAATTATATAAAAATGACATCATATCTCTTTCTCCAGAATGAGAAGCCCCTCTCTGTATTACTTCATCACAATACGGAGAAAAGTATAGTCTCCCTCGCAGCCGTTTTTTGTATGTCACGTAACGCTCCCCCAAAAGAACTTTTAGGGAAGCATTGCGTGACATCCAAAAAAAAAAATGCGAGGGAGACTAAGAAAAGTATGGTATAGCTTTAATTTGTTTCCTGTTCGTTTCAAACAAATTTTGTTTAAGTTGCATACAGTCAAACCCTGCATAATGGACACCTGCTTAATGTGGACACCTCGTTATTATGGACAGTTTGTTTTGCCCCTGGCGAATGAAAGCCCTTACGTCTTCTCTAATTTCAACCTGTTAATACGGTCACTTTCTATGGCCCTCTCAGTGTCTGTATTAACAGGGTTTAACTGCTTACATTGTAATTTTTTTTCTCTTTTTATGTGCTACTGTAGGTTTTGATAGATGTTAATGTGGATTCGTCTTCTCTTCCACTCAAAGAAGTAGATGGTTAGTGAACATATCAGCAATCAACAAGTTTCAAGCTTGAAATTATTAAAAAGTGAAAATGTAGGCCTCCTCCAGTTATGCTCTCAAGATGGGCAAAATAAAAATTCAAGAAGACTCCTGACATTTCGCTTTCAAAGAAGATGGAAAACTAGCAACCCTATGTAAAAGTACTGCTTAAGAGGTTGAACAGTCAGACGGGATTTCATCCACAGTGCAAAAATCTCTGCTAGAGCTAACATTTTGATAGAAAGGCTTGATAAAGGCCAACATATAAAAGGGACACCGAAAGAAACTAGGGAATCTTGCAAGGATGTCTGACTAGTGATGCCAGTTCTGGCCAAATTTTTAAGTACTAAATTTGTTGCCCACTCCAATTGTTCTTACAAGGATCATCTTTTCTTTCTCCTCTCAGGGGAAAAATTCCTTAAATTCTACTGGTTTGATGCAATTATGAAGACAGATTCAAACAACCAGGTAGAGTTGGTCAAGGTTGCTTGACAGTTGAATTATTAAGAAAATCACTAGGTTCCCTGTAAGTTTTGAATGATCTGTGAATTATTCTCTATCCTACAGGTACTGTATACCTTTTTGGAAAGGTTTGGATTGAAGCTGCAAAAGCATATGTGAGGTGATTACTGTTTATCTGCATTTTGTTTTTCTCTTTAAATAAGTTCGGAAATCCCACATGGGAAACCAGAAGGACACTTAGTGGACTTGCAACCGCTAATTAAAAATTTATCTTTTTTCGTATTAGCTGTTCAGTGGCAGTCAAGAACATTGAGAGACAAATATTTATTTTCCCAAGAGAAAAGTTGAGAGGATGGATGTAAAAACATTGCTGCAGTTGTTGAGTTCTTCTTGCATGTCTTTTCAAATATTATCTGTACCTGTTCCAACAATGTACTAAATTAATTGATGTTTTTGTACTTTGTATCATTTAGAAGCTTGAAGTTGATTGTTCTGAAACTGATGAGCCTGTTGGGTTTATTGATGTTTACCAGGTAAAAAAAAATAATGATTTGATTTTAATCATAGTCATTCTGATTACTGTATTCCATAGGCAGATTTAGGGGTGAACCAAGGGGGCCGCGACCACCCCTTTTCCTTTGAAAATTAATATTATTTTTATAGAATTTCGTCTCAGAAAAATAAAAAGTATCTAGAATAGAGCTGTTAAGTGTCCTGCCCACTCCTTTCTGAATTTTCTGGATCTGCTGCTGTAGTCCTTCTAATAATTCCCCCCCTGATATTTAACCCCCCTCCTTTAAATTTTACTAGTAAAGCATGGTGCTCTCTTGACTAATACCCCTCTCCCCCACCCTCACCCTTGGCGGCCAAATTCCACATATTAAAATGGGTATTGAGGTTCACCGATCTCCTCATACAGAATTCTCTCTACTGATCTCCATATATTCCATCAAAGAATTACTTGAGAGAGAGAGAGAGAGAGAGTAAAAGATAAAAGGGTTTTACCTGAAGAAGTTATTAATTTTCTTGATGTTTTCTCTTGATGGTGCAATGATCTCGTTAGGAGAAAATTGATGCTGGTCACTTTTTAGTCTTCCCATGGTGATCATAGTACAATAGCCATGACATTGAGGGTGCTAAATTTCATCACTTTCTTGTTATTTCTTTGTCAGGAGTTTAATGATAAGATTGCAACAAAGCACAAGATCATGAAGTTCATATCTAGGGTAATTCAGATTGTTTAATAATTTTGATGTCACTTTTATGCAGTTCTGTTGATGAGTGTGTGTAACTTATGTCTCTAGAAAGTCCAAAAGGCTTATGCATTTGAGATTCAAGATGTTCCTGTGACATCAGAGTACTTGGAAGTCAAATATTCGGTGAGAGATGATTAATTTTAGGTTATAACAGAACACACATAAACGAGCTTTTAGACTTAACAGGGTTGTCATTAAGATTTCAAGTTGCCGGGTAAATACAACAAGTAGGCGGGGAATCAAATGGCTAGGGATTTATTTTGGTTCTATTTTTCTTGTATTTTCCAATAAAAGTAGCCGGGGACCACTCTCTTAGTAGCCGGGGAAAATCCCTGGCCCCCGGCTCTTAATGACAACCCTGCTTAATGAAAAACCTTTCTTAAGACACAAACTTTCCATTCCATCTTGGAGTCTTTATCAAGTGAGTGAATTTTTTATGTTTCTCTTTTTTTCAAGTGATTTATACTGTGAATCAAGTGATGAACAGTTCCATAGATCATGGAATCTCATAACTGTCATATTCAATGTTGGATTTCAATGTTGTCCATGACACTTAATTTAAACATGTCATCTTCCCTTGCAATTATTGAGGAGGAGGTGATATCCAGGGCGTGTCATGAATACTTGAGGGGGTTCCCCCACTGTCTTTGTTGTTGCTTTAGTGTTGGAAATGTGTTCCCTGAATCTAACTCCAAAAGGTCATGTGATTTAGTAGGTGATAATTTGGTTGCTGGAAGTGTTTTTAACAAAGGTCACTTGTTGAAAGATTTTGGCTCTTTGAATTTGAGAAGGGAAGGTGCCAGGATGGGCTCTAAGTTGTTAAGGCTTAAAAAAGGTTTAAAGGTTTGTTTATAGTGGAAAGTGCACTTAGCTTATCCAGCTAGTTTACAGGCGCTCCACTCAAATAATTCTGAAACAAATAATGCAAATAGAACATAACAGGAATAAAAAAAAAACTTGGAGGAGGCAACCAGTTGGCTATTTACAAGCGTGGCTTGGGATTTGAACTTGGGACAACCAAGAACAAATCCAGCAAGTGGCCAAAGTGGGACTCGAACCTCGGGACTGACGGATTGGGAGTCTGATGCAAAGACAACTTGGCCACGCTGTTTCCCCAGTAAGGGTACTAGGGGAGTTGGGGGGGAGAGGGGGGTGAAAGTGAAGGGGAAGGAGGGTCAGGTTTAATCTTTCTTTCTTTTTTCAAGTGATTTATACTGTGAATCAGGTGACAAACAGTTCCGTAGATCATGGAAGCTCGTAACTGGCATAATAAATGTTAGAACCCAACAACTGATTTCAGTGTTGTCCATGACACTTAATTTAAACATGTCATCTTCCCTTGCAAATATTGAGGAGGAAGAGGCGGCAATATCCAGGGCGTGACCTGAATACTTGAGGGGGTTCCCCACTGTCTCTGTTGTTGCTTTAGTGTTGGAAATGTGTTCCCTGAATGTAACTCCAAAAGGTCATGTGATTTTGCAGGTGATAATTTGTTTGCTGGAAGTGTTTTTAACAAAGGTCACTTGGTAAAAGTAATTGGCTCTTTGAATTTGATAAAGACAGTAAGGGTAGACTTGAGAAGGGAAGGTGCCAGGATGGGCTCTAATCTGTAAAGGCTTAAAAAAGGTTTAAAGGTTTGTTTATAGTGGAAAGTGCACTTAGCTTATCCAGCTAGTTTACAGGCACGCCACTCAAATAATTCTGAAACAAATAATGCAAATAGAACATAACAGGAAATTATAAAAAAAAACTTGGAGGAGGCAACCAGTTGGCTATTTACAAACGTGGCTGAGGATTTGAACTCGGGACGACCAAGAACAAATCCTGCAAGTGGCCAAAGTGGCACTCGAACCTCGGGACTGACGGATTGGGAGTCTGATCTAAAGACAACTTGGCCACGCTGCTTCCCCAGTAAGGGTACTAGGGGAGGGGGGGGGGGAGGGGGGTGAAAGTGTTGATGAAAAAAGGAGTTAATTTGTGACAACATTATTCATGACAGGCGGATTATCCTCAGTTACCATCTGATCTCACTGGTCAAACATTCAGTCATGTGTTTGGTACCAATACATCAAGGTAATGATTCGAAATTAACCCTTTAAGCCCCAGTATCCACATACAAATACTCCGAACTGATCTCCATACATTTCCGTGAAGAATGAGTTGAGAGAATTTGATAAAAGATCAAGGCATTTTTTCTTGGGTGATCGCTTTATTAATTCTCATAACTTATCTGTTGACAGTGTGTGGTATTGTTAGGAGAAAATTGATCTTGGTCACTATTGGCACTTAAAGGGTTAATGTTTTTTGACTTTGACAAGTGAACTTGCTAAAGTTATAAGTAGATAGTGAATGTTGGAAAGCAACAAAGAAATAATGATGAAATATAACTGCTTAGATTTTAAAGCTGTAGAATTTAAACATTAAAGAAGACATTATCATGAAATCAACTGTTTCCTAGATTTGCAATCTTCTATTGCCTTTCTGAAAGTGGTAAACATTTATAATTTCATCAGAATGGAGTTTGGTTTGGTGATCTGGAGTTATTTCTCTTTAAAGGAATCTTTTTGCTTTCTAATTTCAGCCTTGAACTCCTTCTCCTGAGTCGGAAGATGAAAGGTCCTTGTTGGCTCAATATTAAGATGCCTCGTAAGTCAAATGGTACCCTGGTCCCAGAGGTTTTTCTTGATTTTTCTTCGCGAAAGAGATCAACAGCAAGCCGCGAAGCGGCGACAACGAGTCGCGTAAGCGACGAGGAGAGAGAGAAAAACCTCTGGTTACCTTGGCCTCGAATCTCACTTTCATGCAGACGACAGCTGTCAAACGCGTCAAATTGCTAATAAAAAGAGTGACCAATGGCAACTTAGCAAACACGTGCTTATCAGCCGCTATTTTTTAAGTGGGGGTAGACCTGGGGAAATTATGTTATGAACAAACCATCTTCACTTGGGTGGTAAAGAGTGATTTGTTAATCGGGGTCAAGCTAAAGCATGTGTTAACAATGGGCGACAAGAGTCCAGGAATAAGAAGACCACTTTATAAAGAAACCGACATTGTTCCAAACGAATGCTGCAGGATTTGCAGAATTTATTTGGGTATAATAACAAGGATTTTTCACAAACATTGTCATCTGTTCTGTCGGCAGTGCGCCAGCGGCAAGTTGTAAAGTTTGCAAGAGTCTATCAATCGCACTTATTACATTGTTTACTTCTGCGGGGCGCGCCGTTCGCGTCGATTCGCGGGCATTCCCCTGAAAATAGTAATATTAATAGGTATTCTGGCAATCTGGCTCGCATTTTGGTTTGGTGGCTCCATTTCCTTTTTTTGTGGAACAGCGACGCTAGGAAGAGTCATGCAGCACAACAAACCCTTAAGGTTGGGAATGTACTTTCAGAGGTTTTTGTAGGCCCAATAGACCTATTCGGCTAACTCAATGTTGTACCCAATTCAAACCCTTTGGGAATAAAACGTTTTGTTTCAGGAATTTCCATATCATTTAAATGTGAATGCCACATTATAATGCAAATGCAATACACAAAGAATCTTATCCCCGGGAGATTTCAATTGGGTACAACATTGAGTTAGCCGAATAGTGAATGCCAAAAATAACGTTGGTTAGATCTTTTTTGGGCGTCGCAGGAAAATCAAGCTGCACCGAAAATGATTACGCACTTGTACAAAGTTGTATGTTTTTTTCCTACAAGGAAACTTTCATTCCGTATTCGGAGATTTTTTATTTTGCTGCCCTAAACAAGTTAGTTTATTTAATGGAATGACAGTATTGTAACAGAAAATATACTTTCCATGTCCGGTTGACAAAATGGTGAACACATCCTTTCGACTCAACGCAGCGAACAAAGCTTTCTTTTGTTGCTCAGTGAGACTCGGGAAAGCGCTCATTAAGTACCGAGGTCAAAATTTCTTCGAATATTCTTTCAGGAACAACATCCATGGCGTGCCTCTACGTGCCTTGGTCCCGTGCAAATGTTATTGCGAGTGCAGCATACAAACTATTTTCTTCCCTAGTGGAGAGAGGCAAAATGAGGTGTGAAAATCCTCAGCGTCCCCTCGGTAGTTACAATTAAACGAGCCAATCAAATTGGTTTGCGCGTTTGAAAAAATATCAACCAATCAACGCCCGAGGGTCAGATCCTGACCCTGTCGTCTGCATGGAAGTGAGATTCGAGGTCAAGGTAACCAGAGGTTTTTCTGTCTCTCCTCGTCGCTTTCGCGACTCGTTGTCGCCGCTTCGCTGTTTGCTCTTGATCTCTTTCGCGAAGAAAAATCAAGAAAAACCTCTGGGACCAGGGTAGTCAAATGGTTAATAAAACCTCAGTATGCACCATTGTATTATTGATGTACAAACTAGCCACTAGTGTAATAGGGAAGACTGTTGACACTTGTGATATCAAGTAATGGTACTTGTTTTAAAGATAAGCAGGGGCTACAGCTGTAGATGTCAAAAGTTGCCAGGTATTGAACAGCTCAGAAGTTCTTTTGGTTTTCTTTTCCTTTTGTTTGTTATGAAAGAAGCCAGGTGTCATGCTCATAGTTGCCAGGGGAAATCCCTGGTCCCTGCTCCTTCATGATGGCCTTAATATGGTTGTGAACAGTTTCTTTGCATTTGGTGGAATTACCATATGATGTAATAAAAAAAGCACCCATAAAACACCCACACCTCAACACAATAACTGTCAGTACTTAACAATGAAAAAATTAATATTTTATTATTGTCCCTAAGTTTTCCTTATACTAAGGTGTATGTTGTTGTTGACTGTATGTACAAGACTTGAAACAAACTTAAAAAGATAATTTTTTGCCTTCATCAGAGCTCCCTCAGCAACCTATTAGTTGGTGTAAAGTTGAGGTAGGAATTTTTTTGTTCAGTATCTGGAGAATACTTTTTTTTGTCATTATTTTGTTTTCATTAAGTGTAACATCATTATTACTATTTTGCAGGCTGTAGTCACAAAACCTGATCATGTTGAAGTAGCAAGTGAACAAAGTTCTCCTCCACCTATGGTAAGATTTTAACAGCAAAATTAGTGAGCAAGTAAAGAAGAGGGATGCATGCTAACACCTAGTGCTGCTGGTTTTCATTATCATTATCAATATCATTATCATTATCAAAATCATTATCAATATCATAATCATTATCATTATCAAAATCATTATCAATATCATTATCAATATCATTATCATTATCATTATCATTATCAAAATCATTATCAATATCATTATCATTATCAATATCATTATCAATATCATTATCATTAATGATTATCATTATCATTATCAATATCATTATCATTATCATTATCAATATCATTATCATTATCAATATCATTATCAATATCATTATCAATATCGATATCATTGTCATTATCATTAACAAGGTCAATATCATTATCATTATCAATATCATTATCATTTAGGTTGGTTTTGGCCGATTCTTTATTTTCTCTGCGAGACATGAACTTGACACTTGGACTCTTGCCCCCCCAGAAGACGTGGTATGGCATGATTCTGTGGGTGTTAAGGGTTCTAGTTCAGGGCTTAAAATCAGAGTGCGCGGATATTTTTCATCAGAGCTTTCTCTGTTTGTTGCACCATACTGACAAGCCCCAAGAAGGGTGAAACAGCTGTCTATGGCTACAATCCCATTCTGTTTTGAGTTCTTTTGGTGTCGTGTTAATGTCTTGCAGAGTTAACTTTCACGTAGTACGATCAGCATTGCAGTATTCTGCTTGTAGAATTTAATATGTCTACATCATTATCATTATCAATATCATCATAATCAGTATCAATATCATTCTCATTATTATGTTTTGTGTAGGTTGTCATGAGCCTTAGTTTTAGGACCATGTTAAACACCAAGACTCACACCCATGAGGTAAGCAATGAGTAAAATCAAGCACTAAAAATGTTACGTTTTACTTTCTGAAATGCATTAATGGGATGCCTGTTAAGAATACCTTCAGCAATGCTAGAGATGGGCTACCTGTGAAGTTGGATTACCTCAATTGTTGGGCTTCCTGTGAAGATGAATTGACTTTGGACCAGGGCTTGTGATTTGGGATTAACAATCAACAAGTTCTTGAATAGTGAACGTTTTTTCTAAGAGTAGGTGCTGCTTAAGAACCTGGTACTCGCTGAAGATGGGCTTCAATACCCACATCTTATTCCTGCCGCCCCCCACCCCATCTCAGTGGGTAAAGTATGGGGGGGGGGCCCATAGGAAAGGATGCTTGTCGGAAACTTTGCATTAAACCCCTAAAGGAGACCAATCTGGGCGTGGCCCAACCTTTTTTGGACCCCTAAAAGAGACCATTTTAAACTTTGATTACATGAATCGAGGAAATAAAACGAATTAAAAATGTTTAATTTTTTAATATTTCTTCACGTGCAACACTAACAGAGACCTTTACGGCTAATCATAATGGCGTTTGTCCAGAACACCCTAAGTGAGACTAAAACCCGAAATTTACACCCCTAAGCGAGACGATGAGCATCCCCGCTGCTTTCACATGGGGGTCCATCCCCCGGGGAAACCCCTCCCCGTTCTGGTGAGAAGAATTTCCAGGTCATTTGACATTTTATTCTCTGTTGTGGTTTAGATCTTGGCTGTGTCAGCTCTGGTTCACCATGACGTGTCCTTAGATAAGGCTGCTCCGAAACAGAAATTCCAATATCACTTTTGTGGTAAGTTAAATGAAGTACCTCATGGTTAGCTCAGGTGCCATTACAATCGCCCTCATACCAAGTGAAAGTAGGGAAACTAAGTTGGAAATGACGAGAATGGACGGCGTCCGAGTTCACAGAGCTTCGACGACGGTGATGGCAACGAGAACGGCAAAATGAAAAAGGTTTAGATTGGCGAAACAGCAACTCTGCACGTGCATCACGCTTTTTTGTACATTTCTTAGCCGTCGTTGCACGACGACTACGACGTGAAAGTGCCTAATTTCACGTTTTGTCGAGGACGGGAACACAGGACAACAACTTTCTTTTTCTTTTCTTGAACTTTGGCACAGTCCTTCAGAACTCAACTGCCAAAAAATTGCCAACATTTGTACAAACTGAACGAGATGGAATAAGCGCGATCAAGTTTGAGGCAGCACGAATTCACGTCTTCGTAGCATTACTGTCGTTGTTGCTTGAGCTCCCTAGTGATGGTAAAATTAATCGTTTTGCCGTTTCCGCTGTCAAGTTAACTTAAAATTGTAGTTGTGCAGAAACGCGTGATGCACGTGCAAAGTTGTTGTTTTGCTCTCTAAATCTATTGTGTTTCGTGTTTTTATTGCCGTCTCCGCCGTAGTTTCGTTAGGTCTAGCGTCATGAATGACTCTTACTGATAAGAAAATGAAAGCCTACTTTTTAAATTACGAGTTCTGCGAGAGTTTTTACCGGTCATCTTTGTTTTTCAGCTGTTAGCAAGCCCAATGATCAGATGTACCCGTATGACTTTAAAGATCTTGTCAGAAAAAAGGTAAAGTCGACTTCTGAATAGGCAAGAGGTAGAGAATATTTGGTGTTTTCCACCGATACAACCATAAGCACTACAGTTTCTACCAAACCCTTCATTCAACAGACATTTAAGTCAAAGCGCAAAATCAGCATTGAAAAAATCACCAAAAATAACTTTTAGAAAAAAAAATTGGGAAGAAGCATACCCTCAATCCCCCCGTGGGTCCCCCAAGGGAAGTTTAGGTAGGGATTTATGCTAAGCCCTTCAATCCCTGACCCTGTTTAAGATAAACACCGTTCATTTTACTACAGTGTTCACGAAAAGATACATTTTTTTCCTAGTGACCCTAATTCATTTTGCTTCGAATACAGAATTCAAGCTCTTTTAGAAAGTGACATCATTGAATTAATGAATACCATTTTTTTAAAAACATGATTATTACCGCTCAAGTAGACCACTCACCACAAATGTCCACACCCTGTTCAAGGGTTCCAGTCCAGAAAGACACCCCAGTGTTCAAGATGCTAAATATTGAAATAATGTACCCTATTTGTAGCAAACTATTAACGCTGCATTCATGGCTGTGATATGCATTGATGCATTTTCTTCAGTTCCTTCAGCCAACAAAAAAAAGAAAGAAAAAATTATGGGATCATAATTACTTTCGGATAGATGACTAATTTTAAGGGAGACTTTGACCCTACGGGTGACTGTTTGCAACGGTTCACGGAAATGTGTGTGTCTGCAGCCGTTAACAATTGTTTTTTCTGTAGCAAATTAAAATGGAGATCACTGCATCGGAGAGAGCACTTCTCGGCTTATTTATGGCGAAGATTCACAAAATTGATCCTGACGTGCTGGTGGTATGTTTATTTGCAACTTTTTTTTTTTGTTTGACTGATGATTTTCTCTCTCATTCGCCTTCTGATTTCATCTTCGATATATTTTTTTTCAAATTAATTAAAAAGACACGACTCTAATTCGTAAGTCTAAAGTGGTAAATTGAAGGTGTGCTGGTTCGTTGAAAAAACAGGGTTAAATGAAGGTTTTCCAACGTCAATTGTGTACCGTTTATTTTTACAGTTGCGGCCTCGGTTGTTCAAACGTTGAAAGGTGCTTTCCACCGGGTAAATCCGCGCTAATCAGCGGATATGTCTTAGGAAAACCTATTGCCCTATGCACTGGAAAGAGATTTGTGCGGTTGATTGCCCTATCTACTACGTTAACACTAGGCTCAGTCTCCCCTCTCCCCTAGGCTCGGGTACTCCCCTCCCGAGTCGGGTGGGGAGTACTGCGGGCACATCGAGACACCCAAGGCTAGAGACTGAACTTAAGTTCACACAGCAGCGGTTGAATTGTCAACCAGTTGAACTAAAATTCGTGGGTTTAGGTGGTGCGTTCACACGGAACCAACTTAACCGTACCAAAATGTACACGTTTAGCCGTTCAAAGTTCCGTGAGAACAGAGCGGAAGTATTGAACGTTTCCTTGTGAAGGAACTGTCAGGTCAAATTTTTCAGCCGGGTCGAAAATTGGTCCGTTGCCATGTGAACATAGTCAGAGTTCTGTACTATTCTTGTGAATAGTGATTTGATCAGGGCAATTCTTTATGCAAGTTTTGCGCCAAGGATGTCAAACCAAGTGCTAATTGTTTGAACTCTCTTGGTATTATAGGGTCATAACATTTATGGATTCGATCTAGATCTTTTGTTGCACAGGATTAATGCTTGTAAGGTAAGTACAATGATTCTAATTGTTAACAAATTGGATTATTAGTTCTTGTAGCAGTTTTGATTTATCAAATGGCAAATCTCCTTTTTTTGCATCTTCCGACGCTAAACAATGCTAACTCGTTTCCTTTTTTCATATAGATACCTCACTGGTCTCGTCTTGGACGACTCAAAAGAACCATAATGCCAAAACTCTCGGTAAGAAACTATGAAAATGCCAAATTGTTTGTCTCCCGCCATCAGCGATTCTAGACGATGATATTGAGCATATGAATGTCCGCGTGAGACTGGTTCGGTGCTGTGTCCAATTGCAGTATGGGACGGTTTTGGGGAGGCTATCGCTTTCTTGATTGGCTATTACAAGGTTGCGCGGGAAATTGGGTCAGAATTCGTCCCGCAAAACAGTCCCAGGATGCAATTCAACTCAATAGGGAGCTCAAGCGCCGACGATAGCGATGGCGGGAAAACAGCGACGGCTACGAAAACGTCACTTAAAAAGTGAATTCGCGCTGCTGCAAACTTTATCGCACTTATTCGATCCGTTTAATTTGTCAAATGTTGGCAAATTTTTGGGAGTTTAATTGTGAAGGACTGTATCAAAGTTCAGGAAAGAAAAAGAAAGTTGTCATCTTGTGATCCCGTCCTCGACAAAACGTGAAATTAAGCACTTTCACGTTGTAGTCGTGCAATGACGGCTAAAAAATGTACAAAAAAGCGTGATGCACGTGCAAAGTTGTTGTTTTGTCAATCTTAACCTATTGCTTTGTTGCCGTACCCGTTGCCTCCGCCGCCGTTGTTGCTTAAGCTCCCTGATGAAAAACAAATGTACAAAAATGCGTGATGCACGTGCAAGGTCGCTGTCGTTGTTGCTTAAGGTGATGCTACACGAGACGATTCGCAACGACGATTTTTAGCGCAACACTGACAGCGCTGGAACAATGTTGCGACTAGTGGTGTAACGATTAATCGAATTCTCGATTAATCGCGGTTATGACCGTTTGGTTCGATTCACGTTTCTTTGCTTCCACGTTTCGATTTTGCTTCCATTTTTGCATACCTTGCCCTCAGAGAGTTATTATATTGTAAAATCAGAATCCAGAAGTCTTTGAAATGTGCGTTTTTGATTGACGAGCAAAGACGATAGCAGTTTGTGCGCCATTTTGTATTGCCTGGTAAAAATGCTGTCCTTCAACCACCCCTTGAGAATTCCCAAACAAGGCAAACCATCTTTGTCAGGTTCTCAAACATGGCGACGAACCAAGCGACTGTGAATCCTCCTGTCCCTGTTACTATTCTCAAATTGAGGGTTTGGGGTTGCATGTTGTTAACATTACACGTTCTGTTATAAGAATTAAGAAACAGTTACATCACCGAATGGAAATAATCGTAATCGAAAGACAATAATCGAAATCGAATTGAATCGCAAGGAATATGAATCCTTACAACCCCTAGTTGCGACATTGTTTGGAATAGTTACAACATTGTTCTAACGTTGCAACGATGTGTTGAGCTAAAAATCGTCGTTGTGGACCGCAACATTGTTGTAACGCTGTGACAGCCTTGCAACGATGTTGCGACATTGTTTCGAATAGTTACAACATTGTTCTAACATTGCAACGATGTGTTGAGCTAAAAATCGTCGTTGCGAATCGTACCGTGTGACATCACCTTTAGGCTTTGTTCACTCTATACCCGGAACACTTATCCGATATGTGTCTCTCCACTTTAGAGTTCGGCGCCGCGCGGCTTCGCTCGAAACATTGTTCTTATGCGTGAACAGAATCCCTGTCCGCTATGGTTTTCGTGCCGGCGCAAAAGCTCTCCGATATAGTATGAACATATATCCCCAATATCGATTCAGTTTATCTAAAGATTTCTTACTGAAAGATGCGCCAAATTTTACAGCCCAAATGTAACTTAAGAGACGTGCAATCCTTCGCTAAACGCCTCGAATAATAGTGTGTTATTTTCAATACTTTTAATCTTTTTTCCAGAGTGGCGGGTTTGGCAAGGGTGGTAACCTTGATCGCTGCATTACCAGTGGGCGTATGGTCTGCGATGTCAAGATCTCCTCCAAGGAGCTTATCAGATGCAAGAGTTATGATTTAACAGGTACGCTTTCTGCATTTAGCTTAGTTAAACCACACAAGGAGTCTACTACTACCAGCGCTTTCAATAGTGAGCCTTCCGCAGTTGGCTTAGTTAAACCACATCATCCGGGCCTACTATTACCAGCGCTTTTATTGGTCTTGGTTACACTCACTTTGTTGTTATATATAAAGAGGTAAAAGCGGTCACACTCATGTTTGTTTCCCGAGGTACTTCGTCGCCGCGTACTGAGCATCTTTTACGCGGGAAATTTCGTAGCGTCTCTTTGACGGGTATTTTATCGTTGAACACAAAAACCCAAGATAAACTACTCGGCAGCGATCGTGGTTTGCTTTTCTTGAACTTTTTAAAGTTTCCTTGGTTTATTTTTTCGTATGATGGACAACACTCGCCGTAAGGACAACATTTGACGCGGGTAAACTACGATCATTTTTATTTTTCCCTGAGATAAGCTTGTTGCCTTTTTTCGAGCCACGGGTAAAACACCTTGTCACGCGCGTAAAGTGCTAAGCGCATCCTTAGTTTTAACGTGACTCGCCCTTTTTTAACATCCAAATTTCTAAGTTTTATACACGCTTCTCTTTTTCCCATTTTTTCCTAGCTCTATCGTGGGCTGTCCTTCAGTCCAGAAGAGAAGAAATTGACCAAGATGAAATTCCAAACAAGTTTAAGTAAGTAATCAAGGAAAATCTTTAGTCGTAGCCAAATGTCCTTGCGTCGTACGTCTCATTAGCTCACGAATGTTAGAAAGTGTTCCTCCGTGTTGACGATGTCCAGCCAATCAACACTTTTTTGGTGGATTAATGGTTTGTTTTGAGTAGTAATTGTTTAAGAAGTCCTTTAAGTTAATAATTTAAATTTTCTTTATTTTTTTCTCCAGCTCTTCTCACGAACTCCTTCACATGTTTGAACTGACTTCGGTAAGTGCTGATCAATATGTGTCATTGATCATCTTTGGTCGTGTGGTTGTATGTGTTATCTCATGCATTTCCTGTTTTTTTTTTTTTTTTTTTTTTTTTTTTTTTTTTTTCAGATGGACGCTTTGCTGTCACTAAGGATCATGTACGATTTGAACGTAAGTCTTGGTTTTTTTCCCCTTAAAATGTGATTTCCACTCTCGTTAAACCTCCTGTCACATAATCATTTTTTTCTAACTGAACTTCCGTCATTTCAATTCTTCGCTTTGTCCCCCAATTGAAATAAAAGCCCCGTCCACTCGTGTCCGTGTTTGTTTGAACGCGGATATATATTTTTTTCTCCGGTTTGTGGTTTCGAGATAGTCGGGTCTGCGAAATTCAAAAGGCGCGAACACGAAAAAAAAAAACATGAGGACACTGCGGAGAGGAAGGGCGCCACCGCCCCTTTTTCCCCCTTTTAAACTTTTCTTTAACATCATTTTTACTTTTAGGTTTTACCCCTGGCTCTACAGATAACGACTATTGCTGGAAATGTTATGGTGAGTCTTTAAATTCTCTTCAATTTTCATATATAATTACCGTTTGAAAATATTGAAACTTGAAATTACAATCAATGACCAATAATCTTGCTTGATTTTCAGGCCCGCACTCTTCTTGGCGGTCGATCAGAAAGAAACGAATTTCTTTTACTTCATGCCTTCAACGAAAAGTAAGACTTTTTACTGCTCAGTTTCGAAGCAGGTTCTTTTTCAAATGTCCTAAACCCAGAACAACAGTGATCACGCTAACCCGTCACCACAAAGGCAAACAATCAAATGTCAATTTGGGAGCAGTAAAAATTTTGGGAAACTACCCCTCCCCTAATCCAGCGTAAACACGTACTTCTTGCGTAGGGCAAAATCTTTGGTTGGGGGAGGGGTAGGTTGACAGTTTTCAACAATCTCGAACCAAATTATGGTGATCGGCGCTAAGCGCTGGACATCTTCGACCTCGTTCCCACGAGTAAGGAGAAGACCCTGTGACCGAGGGTAGGGGAAATGTTGTACGGGTAAGTTACGGTTGGGGTTGGTTTTGTTCTGATCTGTTGGTAAACTGAAATGATTTTTTTTTTCCAGTCGATCACGTAGCGCAGCCATGAAAAACACAGTTGTAAAGTTACATTAAGCATCAGTGAGATGTATAAAAAACAAGTCAGATTTATATTTTTATTTTATTCCACAGGAATTTCATCTGCCCTGACAAAAGTTATGGCAAAAAACAAGTGGTGAGAATTAAGACAACATTCAGTACCGCTGTTAATTTCACAAACTGTCGAAGCGTCCCTGCGTTTTCCCAGAAAATTCTGGCTTATTTCTATTAAGCGCCTTGAACTCAAGTCTGCGAACAAGCACTCCATTTGGCGGCTTTCGTGAAAAGTCACGCGCGAGCGGCACGCGAGACGAATATCGCTCTCGCGCTCGTTCTCTCGCAGCTCGCTTTGACCATCTTTTTAAAGGCCCATGTTCACCCAAGCGGCTTTGCGTGCTTGTGTTTTTGTTTTGAAACGCTTCTTTTGTCAAATTTAGTGTTTAGACTGGGCAGAGTGTTCGCCTTTTTCGGGCTTGGCCGAAGCGTGACTCTAAACACACTGAAAACGGGAATTTTCAATTACACAAAATCATTTTCTTGGAGTACAGAGTGCGCAAAGCTGCTTTGGTGAACATGGGCCTTTAAAAGGAAAGCTTTCTTGGGGGTTCGAATCATAATACGTTTTCCGTTCATTTATAGGTTGAGGCAGAGCACGATGAGGAGGAACAGACAAGAAGCGCAAAGAAAGGGAGAAGAAAACCAGCTTACGCCGGTGGTCTTGTGTTAGATCCCAAGAAAGGTATTTAGCTTAGTCTGTTCCAGGCTCCAAGTTACTTAGTGGGGAAAACGAAAAGAAGCACCATTGCAGGATTTGAAAAAGAGTGGGTTTTTTGGTCTATCTGACTTGTACCGTTATTAGTCCGGGGCGGAGAGGGGGGATTCAGATGGACTGAAGAGGAAAAAAGTGCGACTTTCTAACAGACGTCTTATCTCTACAATGAGGCTGCCGGGTGCAAGGGACAAAGTTGTCATCGTGAATTTATTTACTTATTTTTAATTTGCATTTAAAAATCATGATTTAACCCCTCTTATTGGAATGGGTATGTTAAAATTCATTGCTGCAACTGTGGACCACTGAGTTATTTTTTTTTCACGATAGTTAAGTAACATATCGTGTGGGACGTTTTTATCATAGTTCTCAGTTCACAGGATGTCCATCATCATTCAGGTGTGCAGCAAATTCTAAATAGGTCGTGATGTTAGTCGCGTGAATCACGTTTCTCATATAATGTACGTTTTTCTAGGTTTCTACGACAAACACATTCTGCTGCTGGATTTCAACAGTTTGTACCCGTCCATCATTCAGGAATACAACATTTGTTTCACTACCATCAGTAGAACAACCTCTGCCTCCTCCAATGGAGTGAGTTCATTGATTTTAGTAGTTCCTGTTCTTTTGGTTCCCTTTGTTGTTATTGTTGAAGCATGACCCAGGTAATACGGTAGGTCCCGTGGTCGGTTAAACTTTCGAGACTGTTTCGTTGCGCAAATATGGTTAGATGGTTTTGCTTAGGAATAAGCTGGTGAAATACTGCTTTAAAGAAGTGTGAAAGTTGAATGAAAGGTACAGAGCAGTTCTTTCCTGTGGTGTTATTTATATTGTTGAATATGGTGGTTTCAACTTGTAAATCTATGGGGTATGCAAACTACTGAGCAGTACTTCGCTGTGGTACTGTTTATCACGCTGTACAAGGTGGTTCTAACTTTTGAGTCTGTGGATGAAATCCTAATGTGTGACCATTAAAATGAAAGCTGCTGAGCAGTACTTCCCCGAAAGCCGCTGGGTAGTACTTCCCTGTGGTACTGTTTACTATGCTGTACAAGGTGGTTCTAACTTTTGAGTCTTTGGATGAAATCCTTATGTGTGACCATTAAAATGAAAGCTGCTGAGCAGTACCTCGCTGTGTAATTGTGTATTATACTGTGCAAGATGGCTCTAACGTTTAAGTCTGTGGATGAAATCCTAAAGTGTTACAACTGAAAGTTACTAAGCAGTTCTTCTCTGTGGTGCTGTTGATTGTGTCGTACAAGACGTACATAACTTTTGAACCTATGATACTTTGGCCCCATTCGAATTTTAAAAGTATTGGTCAGTACTTATTTTGCCTTACCAGATGGCTCAAACTTCTGAGTCTGTAGATGAAACTTTTAAATGTGACATTCCGATAACATTTTCAGCAATTTTCTTGCTTAGTAACTCTAGTCGTAATGGGTTGTGTAAAGTTACTAATTATGCACAACTACTTCAAGTAAGACCACACGAACCGCCCTGCTACCTTGTTTTGATAGGTTCAAAAAGCACTCACAGCATTTGTTGTCAGTTTTGGGTTTGACAATATTAGAAATAACTTTTCAACAATCACGCGGATAATGTTTCTCGAGTTACTATTCATTACCAGTAATCACATGCTCTCTTAGGAGACTATTTTTCCTAAAAGCCTTGTGATTTTCTGTACTGTAGAGGCGAAAATTTGAAAGTAGTTAATTTTATTCCGACAGGCTGACGAGAATGAAATTGTTGAGTCACCTGATCCAGATTTAGAGCCTGGAATTCTTCCAACGGAGATCAGAAAACTGGTAGAACGAAGAAGACAGGTTGGTATCTGCGTTTCTAACTTTAAGGTGTTCTGTCACCAGGATATTGCGAGTGTTTTAGGTCAATCATGTGATAAAGTCATTGCTTAGTGCCTTAACCCATACATAAAATGCTCCTGTAGTGAAACGAAGAAGATAGAGCGATTTTCGTATGACCTTGAAAAATGGTTCCGGTAAGTGTTCGATTGGCCAATCGTGTTGCAGTATGAAGTCAAAGCGTAGAAAGTTCTCGGGCATGAAGTTTTTTCACCCGAGCGTTCGCTTAACCAACCAAAAGCTACGTGGGTTTGTATCTGTTCGATAAGCCAGTCAAATCGTCCTATTTCCGTTCGTTTGTTGTGCATGTTTCGTTCGCGCGTTTTCACTTCGAGGACATACGAAAATCGCTTTATTCAAAAAATTCCATTAGGCAGCACTTTTGTTCATTGTTGTAAATTTCCAGCTATGTAACAAAGTCAAAATTTTACAAAATTTCCCAATTTAATTTTGTTAAATTATGAAAACCAGATAACAGCATATGAGAATACTGAAGAGGTTTCATTTGAATAGTAACACCATAGGATTTTGTCTACGGATTCAAATCATCAGCAGCATCATACATTATCACCTTTATTTATCCTCAGATTTACAGTGTAGCTCTTTAAGCTAATATCTCCGAAACAGAAGAAAATAAATCATTACCCTAAAATAAATAATGAAATAAAATAAAATAAATGAAAGGAAGTTAGAAGTTGGAACTACATACTAAATATATAGCACCATGTGAAAGTACCGTTGCGAAGAGGTTTCATTTGAATGGTAACACCATGGGATTTCATCCACAGACTCAAAAGTTAGAACTACATACTTAATATATAGTACCATGTGAAAGTACTGCTGAAGAGATTTCATGTGAATGGTAACACCATAGGATTTTATCCACAGACTCAAAAGTTAGAACCGGCTCCGTCTCGATCACTCAATCTGGGAATTAAGGTGAAAGAAATGTTCTGGACTGAGACGTTTCGTTTTAACGTAAAGTGGATTGTGTCTGAATCGGCATGCTCTAAAATCCACAAGACCGGAACACAAAATTTGAGGGCGGCAGATAAACAAGGGGCATCATGGTCTTTGTGAAACAGGTGATTAGGTAAAAACACAAATAGAAAGCCTAACCCTAATCTGTACCTTCTTTTTTCTCAAGGATTGTGAGCGATTTATAGTCAAGTGTAAACGCTCCAGCTGTGGTCAAGAGACGACCCTTGAACTCCTCTTTAAAGGCGCCGTAAGTACACTTTTAACAGTTAATGTTCATTTACAGTTTAACATCAAATGATATTATTTCCTTCAGTCATAGAGCTTATAATTTACACTATTCAGGGGTATAAGGTTAAGCACATTCAATGCATGAGTTATAGCTGAACAGGGATCTGTAAATTAAAGTCAAATCCGCAATTTTCCATTTTCGAAAACCAGCAATGTCGATCCCAAGCCTTTAGCAGAGGTAGGTGTAGTTTATGCTCTGGATTAAGGATTACCAACAGGGAAAAGGTACATAACAGTTCAAAAACAGATTTAACAAGCTTTTAAAACATTTATAATTGTTGTTTTTATTGAAGCAACCAAACGAAGCACATTATAAGGTTGCTATAGTTGAAAAACCACAAGTGCACAACATTTGTGGAGATACACTCGTAGTTACAGAAGTTATGGCAACTTAAAGCTCTTTAAAGTTTAAACTTTTTAAAATTCGTTTAGTAAGATAAGGTCCGAAAATTGAACGTATAAAGTTTTAGGTCTAAAATAAATACTTCGCACCTTTTTTTTTTGTAGTCGAACGCACTGGCAGTCAACGATTCATGTCCCGGATGTAACAACCAGTACAGCGCGGGCGCAGTTTCCAACCAGTTGAACATTGCCATGCGCAGACACATCAAGGAATACTACATGGTAACTGAAGCAATTTAAGTGCTTACTTTTTGCAACTGCAATTGTATACAGTGGAACCTCGATTTAAATAAGTGCCAAGGGACTGGGGAAATTTTTTCGTTATATCGAGGGTTCGGTATATCGAAAACCTCGGTATCACCTCGACACAAGTTTTATCCTTTCGCATTCATCTTTAGCTATCTTTCGGTCACATGCTGACATTTATTCATTATATCGAGGTATATTTTACGTTTGCGTTTCTGGATTGTGTTCGTTATAACGACGTTTTCGTTGAATCGAGTTTCTGTTCCATACATTTTACTGTAATTTTGGCCGGGCTGATGAAAATCGTTCTTTATACCGAGGAGGACTTCGTTATAAAGAGGTTCGTTACATCGAAGTTCCACTGTAATAAAAATAACAAAGCAACTCGTACGGCTTTTTTCTGGGCTATACACCGAGGAGCAAGAATTAGCACTTAGTCGGTTAGAGCACGGCCTTCTGAGCAGGAGGGTCCGAGTTTGATTCCCAGATGTGACCCCATATCCTTCTTTCATTTTCTTTCCTTTCCTTGTAGCTTTAAGTAGCTTTAAAAACCCTTAAAACGGAGCACTGATGGAGAGCAGGGCCCAGTTGTTCGAAGGCCGATTAGCGCTCACCCAGGGTTAAATTTTAACCTGGGTTTCTTTTTCTTTTGTTCAAAAGCATTTTCCCGGGGAATTTTCTCTCTTTTTTAGAGCGTCCAATCATCAATTGTAGGCAAAAAGAATTTGCTTCTCAAGGTTTCATATGTGAAATCAAGTTTCGCACTAACCCCGGGTTAACTTAACCCTGCTTTGAACAACCCGGCCCAGGAAGTAAATATGAGCTAACGACGTAAGCTACGGAGGATTTTTATACCTCTACCTATTTATATGCACTTCTTGCTTAAATGGATAATACATCCTCAAATGCGACCTTTGTTGGAGTAGCAAGAATGCGACCATCAGCAAGTGTCGTACCCGAGAGGGGTTTGATGATGATGCCAATCTTAAGGATATTTTCCTCAGTTTGTAAAAGACCTTTTTAGCCGTATGTTTTGTTTTCCCAATTTAGACCCTTGACCTTAAATTGTACAAGAATTGTTTGTTAACCTTGCCTAAACAAGTTTGTGCGTGCTCTGAAGTAACAATACTAAGAAGGCTGTGAACAGTCTCTTTGTTTGAAAATTCCTTTGTTATTATGTTGTTGATTTTTATCCGGCTTTGAAGACATAGGAATCAGAACTAACCCACATTATAACTAATCGCACAGGGTTGGCAGAAATGCGAGGACCCGTCCTGTGGTTACAGCACACGTCAAGTACCCCTGACACGACAACGAGGCGCCCCTATGTGCCCACAATGTTTCAGGGCCCACTTGCATGCAGTGGTGAGTATAAAACTAAAACAAAGACAACTATGACCGTGCAAAATTTTTCTTTGACTCTGTTGGTATTATCAGCTAAAACTATGTTCAAACGGACAGGGTCAACAATGTTTAAAGTTGTTACGTCCGTGTTTGCAGTGGATTGCACACGGATGCAACAACTCCCAACAATGTTAGTACCTGCGCTGCATCGTGGGAAGGATACAACCCATACGACTTTGAGATCGAAGACCATGTGTAATCCGCGTGCGTGGCCCCAACAATTTAACATTTCGTGGTCCAGCTCCTTCAGTGGTTGCCAATTTGTTTTGTTTTCAGTACTCCGACACAGCGCTGTACACTCAGCTATTGTATTTCTCCCGCTTGTTTGACTTCGATCACGCCATGAAAAATGCAAAAACAGGTCAGTATTTTGAGTAAGTGCCGAGTGTGAGTAAAAACGTTATTTACCCACGGTAGTTTCATCAAATAACTTAACGATAAAGTATCTGTTCTTCTCAAAAGCCGTGCTTAACAAATTAAATAACATAAAAATATGTTAATTTCTGAACCTAAAGCGGCTAAGAAGAGATCGCACACTCTATAAACTAAGAAAGGAGAGAATTTATAATGGTTGACTGAGATAGTATGTACGACCTGATCTTCGCCTTGAATTTTGCAGAAAAGTCTCTTTTTTTGACCAAGAAGGGAGGGAACCCCAAAGCTCAACAGCCGCAAAAGCAAAACTATTCTTAAAATAGTTTGTTCTTGCTTTGGGCAGGTAGAAGAACAACTTAACCTTCAAGGGTTGACGTAAACCCGAGCGCCCATTTCTTGCGTCAAGGCTTACGTTTCTCCTTACGTTCGCTTTTTACGCGTGTGAACGGGGACAACTCAAACGCAAGCACAATTGCAAGGTGGAAAGGGCTCAACTGTCATGTTGGGTTACAGAATGATCACGTGCCTTTTTGTATCTCTGTGCCTGTGTTTGCGTTGGACGTGGGAACTTGTCTGCCTCATTCCTAGGCGTCTCAAGTGTGTTTGGAAAACGGAACACGCGACTTCAAGCGAGAGTATCGCGCAATGAACCATGGAACGTTTAGCGTTGACGCAAAGGGCGCTGGGAAGGGTGAACGCCTTTCCCATGATACTATGATCCAGTCGCTCTCCAATCCGCCAGAACGCACCTGGGTACGAGGCAAGGAACTTGTACTTCCGCTGGCAAAACAAATATTAAATGTTTCCAAGGAAGTTGTAGAAAGTGCAACTTTTGTCCACACCATAGAATAAAAAAAATCTTTATTATTATTATTATTACTATTATTATTATTATTATTATTATTATTATTATTATTATTATTATTGACTCATTTATTTGATTTGACCTTTAAACAATCTGTTCAAATTCTTTTCGTCTGTTCTTTTTTTTAGCTGTGGGCGTAACACAGACTACGAAGTCATTTTACAAAGCTGTGCACTCATTGATTACCAAAGTCCTAACTGCTAATGGTTACTCTGAAGTGAACTTTTCGAAATTGTTTAGTAGTTTCTTCGTGTAGAAACAGTGAAAAAGTTCATACCCTCCATTAGCCAATCAGAAGCAAAGCCCATATCAGTGATGCGTTGCGCGCGGTTGCCGCACTTTGCTCTGATTGGTTGGTTAAGGCTAGTTTCCCTCATGTGCACTTTTCCACGATTTCGTCTAATTGCCAGTTTTCCCGCTAGTCAATCAGTTCCCCGCCTTAGCAACCTGACCAATTTGTATGCTGTTTTCATTCACTTAGCGAGTTTTTTAATTATTCTACAATAACAATATTGGCGAGTAATTAGATGGAAAACAACGCTTTGAAAGCAATCCTATAATTGAACAAAGAATTACGTGTTTATTTCCTAATGTATATAAGTGTGCTTTCTTTTAAGGTCAAGACTATACGTCTGTAGATGTCTCCTTATAACAGCACGTTTAATCACGTAGCCCGTGCAAAGTTTTTTCCAATTTATCTAAATAAAATTTGTTTAAGAATTTCAGCCTTACTCTAATTGATTTTAAAAAAATCATTGAAATCTGTTCTTATAGGGTGTTCATTATAGGAGTTGTTTGCCTGTTGAAAGTTTTATTTCCGAATAATCTCCGACAGACAAAGACAACGTTTTGGCGAGCACCTTCAAAGCATCGAGAACAACTTGCCTGGTTTTCCTGCCGCTGTGTATTTTACACGGCTGGCCACTCCATAAACGACGCTCTTGCTTTGCGGGGAAAAGGCGCAACGGGTGCGCCTGGTGATGCGCCTTCCGTTTTCTCTAGATTGCGCGCAGAGCCCCCGCGCACAAAAAAGTTTTTTAGTTTCACTTCATAAGCGTACATAAAAACCTTGCACCGGTTCTAACGTACTTGCAATGCCACTGATGAAGAGCCAGGCCCGAAACGCAGGAAAACAACTTCAGATAAAACAGGAACTTTTGCTCCAGTTTTACTTTTTAGTGAACTTTTACTACGTTTATGTATCACTATAAGATAGCATGCTTTGCGTCAAAGGAAATCTTATAAAATGATATCAATTCACCTTAATTGAGACCCGTTTCTTTCCAGGCGCCGGTTACGCGCGCTTCCTCGGAATTTCTCCCTCAGTCCTTAAAATCCCGCCCCTGCTTTGCAGGTTATAATTTGAGGATTTTACCATATGTGCTGTCAGGCGCTCTGTGGATTATAAACATGTTCTGTTCTGTTTTGTTCTAGAAACAGGGATCCAGAGAACCCTTACCGGTAATCCGGATCAAGGTCATGGGTCGATTCCTATCAGTTGGGAGCTCAGAAGGTTCCTGTTCTTCCGAGAAACACTTGACTTCCCGTGAGGCAGATGTTGACAGGGTGGGAGGGACTCCCCAAGAAAAAGATCGGGATACTCTTCGTCTCGCTTTTATAGGGGTGAAAAATTGCAGATCTCGGCCTCACTTGTGGTGTGCAGGACTGAAAGCACGATCAACTCCTGCTGAGAGCCACGATTTTTAGCCATACATACAAAGGTATCTCTCATTGGGGTTCTGCCAAAGAAATTATCTCTATAAAACAAACCAAGCACCCGCTGTCAAACTCTGTTGAATGCATCTTAAACACAGAGAATATAGCTCTTATAGCGTTATAGCTCTTAGCTGTCTGTTTTCAGTCGACTTAATGGTTCAAATAAAGCCTGTGCTTCGCCCAGCTTGGTTTTCTTTTGGAGTTGAATTTAGTCCTGACGAGCATCTCCATCGCATTCCTCCCCTACCCTACCCCTTTAATATTTACGCCTGCCACGTTAGCTACTCTTGAACTTTGGACGATTTACTTTCCTCAGAACAACGAGGTTTTGTTATATTAGCTATTAACAATGATCTGTTGTTTCTGTCACAAATATCACGTGATTCACTTCATCAAGTCAATAACTGAAGACGCCCTCTGAACCACTCACTAAACTGCATCCCCTCGATACAACACTGCCTCTCCTCTCTTATCCCGGGCTCTGGAACTAAGGTTTGTTTAAGATTTTACGATATTGGATTTTATGGCCCGGTGAATTAACTATACCGTGTGTTGGTTTTGTAAAGAACATCATTTTCGTGTTTAAGGCACATTCCAACCTTGTGAATTGTTTGGAGTTCGACTGAAACATTAGTTCCCCCATATATGGTAAGATAACGTATGCCTTGTATTTTCTAGAATGAATTTAACCTCTCACAATTCTAAAACTATTCTGTTTACCAGCCATAACTGAATTGAGATGGTTCAGGGAGAGCTTCATTATTAATTATTGTCTGTCAGACTGTCCGAATTGAGGAGAGAGAATTTGGGTACCAAATAATTATTTCTGTTCGTTCTTGATGTCCCATTGCATTTCGGTTTGGCCATCAACGTACGTTTTTTGAGCAAATATTCAGTTCCCTTTTCTCGGTTAAGACTTTAAAGGTGAAATATTTTGCCGATGGAACTGTTACAATGTCGACTTTTTCTGAGGAGCATGAACGTGAAAGAATCTGAAGCATGAACGCTATTTAAAATGCTGCATCTTAGTGGTACAAACTGCAGTGAAAGCATGTGCAGCACAACAAGTGAAACGTCTAAAAGGAATCACTGAACTAAAATGATAGCCTGTTTGACAAACAATGTCAGCGAAATAAGGCAACTTTTTAGTGTTGATCATAGGGCAAGTATCGCGTGAATGACATCGTCATCCACTCATTAAAGTTCTGCCAAATCTAAGTGCAATGGAAAAATGAGAGTTCACCCCTTCACTTCACTTATTTTCATATTCACGTTTATCTCCGTCCTTCGCATATTAAAACTTTACTTCAAACCGAAGAAATTTGCTGGTGAACTTTTGACGTATTAGAGGGATGCTCAGTATTTATGTGAACGATACATGGCTTGACCTCTTAGTCTACTTCTGAGGCTTCTATTTTTCTCATGAGCAGAAATCACCAATTATGTCTCAGAAGCAGATATAAACTACCTTTGAGATAAAAGCCACGATAATGACAATGTATCCTAGTTCCAGAGGTCCGTTCTCGAAATATCTAGGATGAAATAAACCGTGCTTACTTTTCACGAAAATAAGATAAGAAAAAATGACCTCTGGAACGCGGATAACGAATATGACGCCGGAAAATTAATTGTAAAGTGGAGCAAAATAGGGCGGTGGGACTCACAAAGAATTTAGTTGGATTCGTGCAACTTTTACCCTGTTTTAGTCATTTAGACCAAATTAGGGGATTTTCGTTTCTCTCATGCTGAACTGATCGAAAATTCGACGCCCTGTTCAAGTATTGTGTCCCCCGTAACTGCTTTGATATGCGCTGACATTAGAGAAAAGCATACCTAGCTCGTGTAACTCTATACCTCGTTTTGGAACTGACTCAAAATGAGAAAGTTCCAGTACACGGATTGAAAAAGTTTCGTCTTGTAAAGTAACAACCAGTATCAAGCCAAACCCTAGCCTATTTTAAACCAGAAAGCTTGAAGCTGCTGCTGAAGGCTTAAAAGTTGATGCTGCAAATTATGGGGTAACGCTTCGCCCTGCCCTCATCTCTTGGGGGACGAATAGCAAAAGGCTTCTTTCGTACTTACAGCGATTGCGTAATTTCTCATCAAATTCCGTGACAGGCACATGTCATGTCAAGTATCGTATTTAAATCCACAAAATCAAGATGTGATTGGATTCCCCTTCTTATTTAAAATGACACAGGTCACAGCGGTGATGTAGTTAAGGATTCCCTTTCAGTCAAGTTGAATATTTCACAGTCAAGAATCGAGTGAAGAAACCCTTTCATACCATCGTCCACGTTATCTTCCTTAGAGCCTTTATGATCAGGTTTGTGTTTGACTTTTAACATAGTTTTACAGACATTTAGTGCTGACTCACAAGTGGCTTTTGTATGGGGTATTAGTATCTAGTATACAGCTTGCTTGTGACGCCATCATTTCGTAAGATTGTAGCAAGTCTATCGTATGGTATCTTTAAAATATCTTTACGGACGCTGAAAATAAAACATTCATGGTACTACATTCTGCAGTCAGCAAGGATTTACTCTAAATCAAGAGTAGCTCGAGACTGCAATCCCCGACCGAATGGTGTCGATGGATGAACAACCCAAGAAAGCCACGCCCAATTAGTTCTTTACCTCAATCCTTACGACTTCCGATAAACTCTACCTATCTATTTTAACCTTGGTCATCTCTCCTTAAAGCCGGAATGGTTTGTAGTATTCACTGTCGCAGTTTAATTTATGACTTATTCCTGTTTGTTGTATTGACTACTTGTCAGTTGTTTTGGAAAACAACCCAAAATAATGATCTTACTCATCTGACAGCAGTTTCTGGACCTTCTGCAGAAATCTGCAGGCATTCGCTCCCTCGATATCCAGACTTAGAGAATCGCGCGTATGAATGCATCTATAGGCTTGTTTTTGTCAGATTTTTATCTACTGATATTTTAAAACATTTTACATCTAATATCAAAATCAGCGTCTCTATACTGACTATACTATGAAAACAAAAGCATGAATCCTATTTAAAAAATTATCGTTAGAAATCAAGCTGTAATTTTCTCGTAATAAAGGTGTTAAATGGACCGGCCCCCAGTTTGTTTGCAGTGCAGGCACTACTGAACTGGAGCGCGGCATTAGCGAACGAAACTACAATTTTGACAAACAATGTTAGCGAAATACTATACAAGTGTTTTTCTTTGTGCGGTTCTTAGATAACATCGCATGACTTCTGAATTTAAAGAGACCTTTTCAAAGAGCCCTTCACAAAATGACAGCTCAACCCATGACTCATTAAAGTTAATGCCCAATCTCAATACAATGCCAAAACGCCTGTCTGTTCACTTATTTTCTTTTTCACTTTTAGTTCCTTCACGTATTACACTTAAGTTCAAGCTGCAAAGGAGTTTGCTGTAAAGAAATACCTTGAATATAGGCTTAAAAAGTGAACACGTGAACATACTGGATGCAATTTATGAAGCGATGCATGACTTGACCTCTTAGTCTACTTTGTGCATATGCACCGACACAATCATGTCTT